ACACAGGGTCTAGCCAATGCCTGTATTTTTCTGTTGTCATTTTTATGGAAGGAAATAAGAGGAAGGAAATTTGCCGTTCTGTGTCAGATCTTGTCAAAGACAAAACTGAAACTTTTTAATATGACGATAACACGCACAGAATATCTCGCAGTTCCCTAATTTCTGGCATCTGATATGCACTAATATATACACACACACACACACACACAAAATAAATAATCAAGGACTTGAGTCTGTTCTAGTCTTCTTCTGGAGACTCCAGCTGCAGATGGATCTCTTCTGTGCAGTTCCTTTTTCCAGTGCATGACTATATCAACGCCTCAGAAAGTTTCAGCTTTATCTTGAGATTTTCAACTGAAGTTTAGAGTTAATGCTGTTTCTGACACACACACACACACAGAGAGAGTCTCAGAAAGTTCCAGCTTTATCTTGAGACACCAATTCACTGCTGGTGTCTAAAGTCAACAGGTTATTACTTATTAACGTGCCTAATCTTAGACAGTTAGTGAAAAAAAAAAAAGAAAAAAGAAAAACCACCTCGCATGTAACTGTCACATGAATCAATAACAACGTGATCCTTCTTTCTTTCCATCGTGCCCCACGTTCTTCACGTTCACACAGATGTGTTTGTCGCCTTTTTATTTGTTGCCTGAGAAACCATGTCGGCTTGTCTTCTCACATTTCACACTTGGTTTCATCTCTTTAACCTCTCCTGCTCGGCCAAGATGGGCCGCCTGACCTCTCGAGTCACAGACGTGAGACTCATCGCCATTACTTAGGGTCAGAATTGGGCATCTGTATAAAACACAGAGTGGAAAGGGAAAGCTCTAAAAGCTCTTTGGTCAAGGAACATTCCCAAGTTTCCAGCCCTCTTGTTTCTGGTTTGGGACTTTTCAGATTAGAGTTCTGATGGACTTTTTTTTAATAACTAGTAGCAACTATCCTTCTTTTCTTTTCCACTCCTTGAACATTTTCAGTTTTCAGCAGATATGATCTTGATCCCTTTTCCTATTTCTATTGTTCTACTGCCCCTTGTCTTTTCATTGGGTTTGTATTAGGGATGTCTCAATCTGATACTCAGGATGTCCGATATTGGTCAAAATTTAAGAACCGAGAAAAAAAAAAAAAAAAAACTACAGACGAGATTGAAGCCAAAATGCTCAACCTAACCTTGGAGGACATGCAACATAACAGCTATTGAAAAAGTTGTGTCGAGCCATCCCTACTTTGTATAAAAAGACACATTTCTCACAAGGCACGTTTTTTTTTTTTTTTTTTTTTTTTTACTGGCTTTCCAAGAGAGCAAGAAAAATAAAATGTCAGTGTGCTGTTGGCGAGGATACTTTTTATCCTGTATCTGGGCCACAAAGCATGAAGGGTGCCTGTTTATGACACAGGCAGAAACACATGCCTTTTATATACACACACACACACACACACACATACCAGTATTATGTACATACACACTACTCTTCCTCTCCCAGCCTGTTAGACGACAACGGCTAAAAAAAAACAAGTGACAAAAGATACACAAGCTCATGGCTGCCGGCATAGACGAACGCTGTGTTCTGCGTCTCACTTTGCTTTTTCATGACACTTGGTTTTGTAGAGCCAGGAAGTATGCAACACTGTCACGCAGGACACAGAGAATTGTTTTGATGTTTGATTCAGTCAGTCTCAGGTAAGATTTGCCTAGGAAAAAACACAGTTATTTTCAACACATTGACTCTACAGGGGAGGCTTTGTAAGTGTTTTGTTGATTCTTTATATACCACCGAGCTATATTTAAAAATGAAGAAATCATGAGATTTAACCAGTCAGCAGTGGAAAAAAAAAAACGCTTCCTCTCCGAACCGCCCACACTGCTTTCAGCCTTGTTGTGACTTGTTCATATGTCGTTGGAGGATTTCGGCTCCTTCCAGAACAATTACACTCATAAACCCTCCGCTCCTGAGGATGAAAGCAGGTTACACAGCAACAGAACGGAGTTGAAAACACAAAAGTAGGAGTGGAGAGAAACTGGAAAGTACTTTCTTCTTTTCTTTTCTTTTTTTTTGTGTTTTGTTTTTGTTTTAACTCTCACCCCCCGACATGTAGCCTCTCTTTTAGTCTCTCCCTGTGCATATCAGGAACATTCATGCCATTCTTGCTTTCATCACTCGTGTGTGCGTTGTCACGTGCAGCTGTTTGCTCTTCGGTTAGCCAATTGCGTCGCAACTTAGCCGAGTTGCAGCAGTGTCGGGATTCTCTTCTCGCAGAGATTCTCTCTGATTTATTCTTAACATCTGTCTTTGGCAGGTGTGTGTGGAACCGCAAGGTCCTCTCTTTGAGCCTGTGATACCGCTGTGTGTGTGCGTGTGTGTGTGTGAGAGAGAGAGAGAGAGAGAGAGAGAGAGAGAGAGAAAATTTGCACACAAACACCACACAGAGCCTTCCCCTGCTTCTTCTCGGGGATGATTCATATTTGAGCCCTGTGTAATCCAAGCCTGTGTTTCATGTGTGTGAACAGACAGACCCTGAGTAGTGGTCTTGGTCCTGACTCCCTCTGGGCCAGTGAGTGGGTGAGACACAGCTATCAACAACAGGCCCAGGCAGCTTCAGTTTCATCTTCACCACACAAGGAATCTACCCGTCGTGACAGGCAAATATATGCACATACACACACACACACACACGTACACAGTCAAGTATTGCCCCAGCTATTATTCTTTCCCCTCCTTTAGCTCCTCCTTAAATAATATCAGGTAACAAAGAAGGGGGTGATGGGGAGCTGCGTGATTGGTCCAACCTTATGAAAGTGTTAGGATCGAGAGGATGGGCTCGTGGCTAAAGTTTCACATGAAAAGATAGTGTGACACAACGGTGACGCTCAGTCTAGCACCAGCAACTTTGTGTGTGTGTGTGTGTGTGTGCATTGTGTTCGCCCGGCGCTCTTTGTGCACGTGCGTGTCCACCTGTAGAAGTGTGATTGCAGCGCGGGACTGTCAAGGCGGCGGATTGACACGGTTAACAATGGCGGCTCAAATATTTTGACTCGCTTATTTGAAAACCTAGTGGGAGAGTGCAGTGACAGGGGAAGTGGGGTTGGAAACGCAGGAAGAGGGACCCTCTGTCTGTCCTCGAAGGACATTGTACAGGGGGACAAACCTTTCCTTTTTTTTTTTTTTTTTTTTAAAGCACATCTGGACTTTGAAAAGAGTGTTTTACATTTTTCCTACAGAGGGCAGAAAAGTCCTGGTTAGAGCAGGAGGACGGTGATACACGGATTTACATTTTCATTATGTTAAAAATATTTTTAAAAAAAACACAATCATAAATCATGTTATTATAACTAAGAAATAGTTAGTACAGATAAGATAACAGTACAAGAAGAAAAAAAAAGACAAAATTGAGTGACTAAATTCCTTTCACAGCAATATTCCTTTATGGACCAATCAGTGGTTTACTGACTAGTAAAGCAGTTTTTTATTTTTTTAATTCCCTAAATTCAAACTTAAATGATGGGATATAATAAATATTGATCATGATTGATGAGCTATTAAAAAATTTTTTTATGATTTTTCTTGCGATATCTAGACGGCCGCAGACCCCAAAATCACCAGGCTTTTGTTAAGATTTTTTTTTTTTTTTTTTTTTTTTAAAAATCAAAGTTAAACTCAGCATTAGTAGCCTGTTTAGACATGATACATTAAGCCTTGATTTATTACCTCCATTTGGGCATAAGTCAATGTGACTTTGCCGTGCTGCTCTTCTTACTTGCTGCGCGCATTTTTTTTTTTTTTTTTCGACTTACATACCAGCTTTAACAATTTTGCTCTCCCCTCTTATAAACAAAAACAGTCAACTATGTTTGAGTTTTGTTTGAATCTAATTGCAAGCATATGGGGGGAAAAAAAACCCTCATAGTGTTAGGGGAGTCCTGAAGCCCATGTGGTACATGATTCAAACGTTTCACAACAAGTCCGCTTTTATTCTGATGGTATGTGTCATCGTTAACATCCCCCACTCCAGCCACGTTCAACATTGTTAAAGGCAAAACTGTAGATTTTCATTGCTGCGTTAAGACATTTTTATGTGTTCATGGAGACCCTGAATTTTATTAAGAAATTGTTTTGGTAGAACAGTTCTTTAAAGGGCAGTTGCTTATAGACACGAGTGTTGTTTTAAACATCCTCTGACTGTTTGCTTCAAATCAGGGCTCAGCAACTTGAGAACATATATAATTGTAAAAACCTGTGACTAATATTGCCTTTTGTGCATTTATGCCTCAATTCAATATTCACAGAGTGCCGGTCTTAAAAGCCAGCAGAGTGTGACCATATACAATATCATAGCAACTGCTCTAAAATGTTCAAGTGAGAAATGAAAAAGTTAATGATATAATTTAGTTGTATTCCTCTGCCACTGCTGCTGCTGACATCATTTAGCCGATACGTGCTAACGTAGCTGCACACAATCAATTTCACGTGATTTGAAGCATGTAGCTGTGAATTTTATTTTATTTTATATTAACGCCTACTTCAGTTTATTCAAGTTTATTTTTATGATAATTATGAATTTCCAACAAACTGCAGACCAGTCACAGGTTCCTGCTTCAGTTCAACAACAAAATACTTGTTGACTGGAATGAGGTACTATATGAAACTGGTTCATGTGCACAGTCTGACAAATGAAACAAACATTTTTGTAGTCATTTAAAAAAAAATAAGAACAATGTATGACATTTTCTTCCTTTTCTTGAAATGAAAATATTTTTAAATATTGTCCAAGTACAAATTCTGTCTTTTTTCAAGTAATACGTTCAGTGGATAATGAGAGAAAATGAGAATAACTTTTTGACGCCAACATGTGCAGGGACATTGTGCCGTTTCCTGAGCATTATTGGCAACTTTTTTTGACAACCAAAAATCATCTTTGTTTTTCCTCACATGACAGACGCTCTCTAGTTTACCAAACTAAACACAATTTTTCACAACTTGAAACAGGGCCAATAATTTAACTGTCAGATTAGTTTTGTTGTTCTGAAGTACTTTGCTGTGGTGACATATCTGCTACGTACTCGCTGCGGCTTGTGAGTGTGTGCTTATTCTCCCGAGCTTTGGCGCAGAACACGTGCAACAAATGTGTGCGCGCTGACCAGCAGGATGTATCGTGCTTAAAAAAACCCAGCCAATTTCAATCGCTGGCCCGTGTGACGAATGCAGCCCGCCGTGTCATTTTATGGGCCCATCAAGCTTAACGTGCGTCAGTTATGTTTACTGGACGGGTCAAATGTGGTGGTTAATTTCAAAGGAATGGCAACTGATTCACAACGATTCCAGCCCATCGAGCGATTCAGTTTGATCCAAACACTCAATTTGAATTGGGCGATCGCGTCTATGGAGTAACACAGCAGAAGTGTAATGTAAGACGCGTCGTTCGTCAATCCAGGAAAGTGACTTGTTACATAAATGTTGTGTCCAAATCAGTGTAAATGTGGCTGAACCGGAGTTTGGACGATTTATTTAGCCAGACTGTCGGAGGTTTCTGCTTGACGTTTACTTCTTTCCCACGCCTTCTCTGTGGACTCATACTGTGGGAGTGGATGCCATGTTTCATTTGTCTGGAATTGCCTGCTCGGTTTATCAGCCACGCGCTGAACAGATTGACAAACTATCAAAGTGGGTTTAGACGTTTTATAATAAACCCCGTGATGGCCACATCATCAGCATAGTGTTGCACAAAGATCCAAAGTCAGTTTCTTAATTCGGAGAATTACGAGTATTTATTTTTGCCGCTATTTTCTCCACATATTCTAGATTGATTCGTACTGTTCTTATTCTCACTTGCTCACTAATGTGTGAAACTTTTTAGGAGAGGAGTGAAAATCCACGGTTGCCAGTGGCTGTAAATTATCGAGCCACATTCTCTGGTCAGTGCAGCTTTCACAAATGACGTTTGACTTCAGCCACATCAGTAATGGCTTCAGTGAGAGGCTGCCTAATGTAAATATTGCGTTAATGTACCAACAGTGGTTTGCGGAGTCACTTGCTGTTAATCATTGCTCAACACAGAGCTTGTCAGACACAACATGCCCCAGAGTTAATCATGGTTATAGATCCCTGCTTTTTATGTAGAGGACGTATTTAACAGCTTCAGCCGTTCCAGTCGTTTGGTCCTTTCAGTAAACGTGTGCGGCAGCATTGGCAGCCGTGACTCCAAGGGTCAGAAACGCACTTTGAGATTCACGTGTTTGAATGACAAGTCATATGGAGTAAGTAATTCCAAATGTCTCAATGGCTCTCCGTGAGACAGAAAACCTGCTATTCAAAGGTGAACACAAATGACTTGTGCTTTTTTTTTTTTCCCCTCTCTCCACTCTCCAGCTGATTCTTTCAGGGCTGAGAAGGAATTTTAAGTCACCTCAGAAATATTTCCAGTCCTCTCATTTCCATTTTTGGCTGTTATGTTAAACAAGAAAAGATAAAAAAAAAAAAAAACAAAAAAAAACATTTCATACTCGCGCACACACTGAGGCGAAGATCGCCGTGTATAATTAAAAGCCAATTTTGTTGAATTGATTAGATGATGTTAATCAGAAGAGATAATATCTTAAAAGCAGTGGGAAGGAGGGGGGGAGACGGAGGGAGTGTGTGAAGAGTGAACAGGAGTGACAATCCAGCCGCCATTACAAGCTGCTGATTTCTGCAGAGTGCTTCATAAAATGTCAGAGCGCTTCTCCCTGAGCAAGACACTGAAAAATGGCAGAGCTGTGATGTGCTGGCACCTCACCTGCTGCTGCCGCTGCTTCTGCTGCGTGAGCTCTGCACGCGCGCGTGTGTGTGTGTGTGAGTGAGTGCTAGCGTGCGCGGGCGCGCGTGCACGTGTGTGTATACGTGTGTGTGTCCACTTTGGCCTCCCTCCCATGTTGCAGTGAAGCAGAACAGAGTGGCTGACTGCCCGCTGCTTTTCTCTCTCTCCCCCTCTCTGTCAATACAACACTTCTCTCTTCCAACCAGTCATTTTCACATGTTCGACATTAAGTAAATCAGCAATTGAACAGTAGAGAAAAAAAAAACCCCTGATTGACAGATTGGGTTTAAGACTTCAGCAGTCGGCTGTATGTTATCAAATTGTCGGTCAGAAACTCAATAGCGTTTCAATAAATATCCTTCCTGGTGCGAATTTTGTGTCACTGAAAAAAAAAAACAAAAAAACAAACACACTATGTCTGATGTTTACACATCAGGAAGGCTGTTTACTTCTCGATGTGAAACACAAACCTACCCTCATTTGCCATTCAGCCTGTGTCTGTGTAAGTGATCCAGCATCCTTTAATAAGGAAATAGATTATCTGAATTACAATTTGTGTGAACAGACCCGACAGTTTGCTTGCAATCGGATAGGAACACGCCGAACGTACGTAAGATCAACGCAGTTTATGGGTGTTTTATTGAAGTCTGACCTTTTGTTGATGTTGTTGTTTTTGGATTGTTGCATTTTCCTTTTTCAAACCCGCTGCTAAGTATGGGCTCATACATTAGAATTCACACTAGAATTAGACAGTGTTTCACATGGTGTTATGTAACGTAATGAAAACAGTTGAAGCTGAATAATAAACCGAATGTGACTTTTTTTTAAATTGTCATGTCACAAAATACATCCTTGCGTCAGATTGTTCTGAATGACAGGATATCTCTGTTACACATTGATATTTACACTGGTTCAGATTCATGAATCATCTTTTTCTGTTTGGTTCGGGCCGATCATGTATAGGTCCGTGTGACACCGAGCATGTCATTTTGACTTGCCTGCTCAGCTAACGTCCGTCAGCGCTCGTCACCGCTGCTCTATGCATTTATTATGGTTTGCATCACTTTAGGAACTAACTCTAGGAGATTCATTTGCGTTTGATAGATGTGCTTATTTTTAGCGGTTTGTCTGTTTCTTTGATTGGTGAAGGTCAAAAAAGTCTGTATAATAATTATAATAATAATAATAATAGTAATAATAACAGCAACGACAGTAAAATTAATAAATACTTTTTAATTAGTATAATTGTATATGTTATAAAATATAATTATATTATATTTGAATTATAATTAAATATAAAATAATCATGTATTTATAAAATGAAATATATATAATTATAATTATTATTATTAGTAGTAGTAGTGGTAAAATAAGTGTAACTGTTATTATTTGTGGTGGTTTTATGGCTTATGTGCAGTTTTTGCCTAATTCTGGATATTTTCTAAACCGTTCAGTTGGATTATATAATCTGTTAGATGTTTGGACACAGCAGCACGATCGATACGATTGAAGGGAACCCCGTTATCACAGACACTTGTTTGTTTATATAAGGAGATGTTGCGTTATAATTCAATTGTATTTTTTTATACATAGCTTGATTGAGCTAATCTAAGATTCATGACTAAAATATGACTAATATAGTGTTGTTGTTGTTTTTTTTCTTTCTGAACCAGATTGACTTGCAGTGCAAATAGACCAGAGGAAATGTAATATAATTATGAATAAATGTCACGATTATTTAATCATTTATGAGCCAAGAGTGCGCGTACCTATTGTGTGTTTTAATATTTAAGGAACACACATTCACACACTGCATTTGTTCAGTTCACACACATCCACGTTGCCCACCATTAGATGCCAGCGTTATTACTGTTAATTTCACTACACACAAAAAAAACAAAAACAAAACAACAAGTTGAGAAAATAGAAAGTGCAAATAGAGAAGGAGACAAGGGGAGAGTGGCTCGGAGAGAGGTGTAAACGCAGGCGAGGGAGACGCTGATCAGCACCGAGTCGGAAATATGAGCAGCCTTTTTGTTTAACAAGCCGAGTAAATAAGCGCACAAGTCACAGGAAGGAGGTGAATTTAGTGTGGCTGTTGAAAAAGCAAAACGTGACTTCACCGAAAATTATGCAGGCTATTATATTTCAGGGGCTTTTGTGTCCTCGGGTAGTGCAATAAAGAAGAATAAGATCATGAGCGAGGGAGTTGTTTAAAATGGTTCGTATGGTATTAATCAAGGTCGTCTGCGGAAATGTGATGTCATTAGGGGCTGCAGACGACCAACGTGTTAAGTAACGAGATGAAATCAGAAAGGTATTATTGGCAATTTTATGGACACCTCGAAGATTGATTGATTGATTTTTTTTTTTTTTATTCCAACCTATTCAAAGCTGATGTTTTATGCAGAGAGAGGCAAAGACTAGATGAAGGATCACAGACTCATATCTGGACAGTTTGGCCAGTGGAGAGCGAAGATGAGCACTGCTGAAGTTTTGTGTGACTGAGGGGTGCAGTAAAAATTAAAGACTGTGACTGTACGTGTATTACCTTTGCAGTTTGGTTAAACAACACATTATATGCTCCAGGAATATTCTCAAAACACTCCCCGAGAGTCAGTGGGGGGAAGAAGGAAAAAAAGAAGCCATTTCTGCCATCACATCTGCAGCAGATGCAGCAGCAGCAGCAGCCATCACCTATCTAAATCATGTCACATCTACACGGGCAAATCACTGATCTGCTGCAAGTCAAGTTTCAGTTGAACAGAAATGACTAAATGTTTGGTTTTTTTTTTTTTTTTGTTGCTTTTATGGAAATGGACTGAAAAGGCTTAAACAATTTCTCATGCGAGGTTTGCCGCTCTCTGGCTATTCCATTGTTCTGTCACTGTCAGTTTGTTTTTCTGTTTGACATGCATGTCATTTGCATTATGCATATCTGCAGACCAGCACTCACTCACTCACTCACTCATTCACTCTCCCTCTCTCTGTCTCTCTCTCTCGGTCGCTCGTTCTTATCTGAAGTATATTTGTGTGACATGAATTTATTTAAACCTGCGGTTTGCAGATTGAGTGGCATGTTTTTGTCAAACCGCAACAACATCGATTCCCGTTTCCTGCGTTCATGCAGGGGTCTGAAATCAAACAGAACGGACATTAATGAACGCGTTTGTTCTCGTCGCACGTACACTTCGTTAAACGACCACCAACAATTATTGAATCAGACTTCTTTTTTCTTTTTTTATCAATTAAACGAATGTTGAATTTGCACTACCACTTCGAGTGTTAATTAAACATTTTAATAATATTCCACTATTTACAAGCCTGTTGACAGAGTTACCACGTCTTGGGGGAATTTTTATTTTTATTATAGGTTGAAATTATTAAAGGACTTATTACCACATCTTTAACATTTTAAGGACCAATTATTTTGAATTAAGTAGAGCCTTGTAACAACAAGTTTTTGCTTCCTAAATATACTAAATTATTGATTAACCACGTATTGACAGTGTCCAGTAGAGCCGCCTGCTAAGCTCTTGTTACAATACGTTGGCAGCTGCTGAATCTTAAGAGGGAACAGTGTCATTTCAAATGTTATATTTATATGTACTTTATAATAAAGTACAAATGTAGTAATGAAGTATTTAAAAGATCTAGTCAGGTAATGGTTACATAATGTGTTATGGTTCTTAAATGCAATTATATAGTGCTATTATTTTCTGGGATTTAAGTGTAGAAGTGCTTTATTTATTTTACATTTCTGCTTAAACCGAGAACATTTAGAAACCTGCATTTTTTTCAAAAAATAAATGTAATACATACATATATAAAAACACTATAGAAGTTAATATAACTTAGTATAGGGTACGAAAATAGGATGTAAAACTTGCAGTGCTTTGCAGTTGGGGTTTTTTTTGCACAGAATTTTTGCTGTTCGTGCTTTTAATGCCATCAAACTGGAACTGAAAAAAAAAAAAAAACGTTACATTTTCTATAGGTCCATGCCTGCATGTCACCCTGTAGAAAAACCTCTTGTTAAAGGTGGGGGAAAAAATGCTCAAATGTATCTGTCAAGTATTTTTGAATCAAGCTGTGTTTCTGGTATGTGAGCTCAGCGTTTGCAGCCTCAGGCTACGTTTTTTTTTTTTCACTTTATAATAAAGTGCGCTGAGTTATGTACAAAGTCAAACCTGTGTGCCTGCGCTGAGTTATGTACAAAGTCAAACTCCACCTCCTAAAGTGTTTCAGAGACATTTTAAACTGCGAAACCCTCTAATCTAATTAGTACTTCCACTTCCTCTACCACTACTGAGGTGATTCTCAAACTATGGTGTGTGTACCGTCCTCATTTTAGTCGTACCTAGGAGCATTTGACTTCTGTTAGCATTAGGGGAGTCACCAAGTTGGTAAATACAGCTGATACTGACTAACTAACTAACTGACTAACAATCTTAGGAATACGGAATACATCAGTTTCTTCATATGCAGTGGTCAGCTGAACAGGTTAGACCTGTGATGGTAGTTGGAGGTAGTAAGTGATGTCAAAAGTTTGACATGTTCTTCCTATAGTTGGCATATAGTTGGTGTGTGCGAGCCTTTTTTTTTTTTGTTACTTTTTAAGGACTATTTCTGGCACTTGTTGTTACCTTTAGGACCAATTGTCGTAATGGGGACCTGCAGCTCAGCGAATGAGGCAGAACCTCGGTTTTAAGGCTCTGGTTAAGGTGGTGGTTAGTGCTCGGTCTTGCAGCTTAATTACTGTATGTTTGTGGGACTGTGTTTGTGCATGTTTTGAACGTATGTATTTTTAGTGTGAATCTCACGTACTGTTATCGCATGCTTCCAAACTGCTCCCAAAGTCATTATGGACTCTTGTTGTCGACACATGCAGCCAGCAGTGAGTGGATCTGCAGAGAGACTGTAATGAGCAGCGAGACTGGCAAATGAGTGTGAATGGCTGTAACGGGGGAGAAGGGCAGATTCATCAGGGATGATTGCCTGATGCACTCCTCTGGTTTTTTGATGTGAAGACCCTTCTAGGTTACCATGGGGAGAATAATTAGCTTTGCTTGGATGCAGATGCGAAATAGCGCAAGAGATGGGAATTTTCTTATTGAGTTTACTTTTCGGATAAACAGAATGGTGCATATTAATGTGGTTACACACATACACACACATACACGCATGTATGTAAATACTCGTTGTTTTTTTTTTTTGAACACACAGACACACTCACTCGCCACCGTCTCATACCCTGCTATTTATGGCCTGGAAATGGAAGAAGTGCTGTGTCTGGTTGAGCTGAGTAACACAATTCTGTCACACATAGGTTTGACATCAAACGCAAGTGACAAGCCTATCCGATTCCTCTCCACCGAGTCATCACCATGTCCCAAAATCACATTATTGTCAGTGGGAAGCCAGAAAAGACGGATGGTGAGCAGAGCTGTTGATTCCAGCCTTTGGCATCGGCAGTATGCTTGAGAAAGGCAAATAAAGCCATTTGGCAAGACTTGATTTTCCTCATCGTTTCAGACATATACAGAACTTATGTGGCATGTCTTTGGGGTTTATGTTGGATCTGGGGCCTTTATAGTGACACGGAT